GCGGAACAGCATCCAATGACAGAGAAAGGTGGAACTACAATAGTTCTCTTCCTCATGCATACTGTACTATGTTAGTCAAGACGCTGTTTGTATTACAAATGGTATTTATGCGATATACTTAGAGTGTTGTACCATGATCTGTCTTATTATGAGTCTTTACTTAACGTGTAGACGTATTTTAGTCTCAAATCTGAATAATGTCGAAATTACATTTTCCCATTGTTATTTAAAAAAATAATTATTACATTGCAACTAATTGCCCCTCTATCTCTCTCTTGTTATGATTCCCCCCCCGGGGGGGGGGGGGGGTTTGGGATATCTCTATTTAAAGAAAACTACAATGCTGAAAACTTGAGATCATCCGTTTCAAGCCAGGAGGATATTACCCTGTATACTGTAAGACAGAGATAACACTCTCCTGGTTCCAATTGTACGTAATATGAGATCCAGAATGATGGATTTTGAATTATCCTTGGAGAATCTAGTCTTTAATAATTCTTGTATATTACTGCAGTGTAAATTCATAGCGTTTTATACATGTATTTGTAAATCAATTTATTTAAGTATCAGTTAATGTCCTCTTTGTGGCGTCCATAAAGAGGCATGTGAAAGATAATTGGGTAATGCTTATTTGCAAATTAATATAAAACCTTTTTACCCGAAAATTCTGACAACACAGTTTTATTTATTAATTGGGAGAAATGCATTACCCAATCATCTTTCTTAGTTTTATATAAGTTGTATAGGTAGTGCAATTTCCTATTTAAAAATAGAAGGTATATGTTTAGATTGGAAGAATCTTGTTCTGTGTTAAAGGACATTGTAGTCTTTCATTGAAAAAGGAACCTATAACCCAAAATATTGTTCTCTGTATATTTTGGGTTCAATGCCAGGCATACTATTTAAATTGAAACTGTCAGCTTCAAATATTACTTTCTTTATAGAAGTTGAAATCTGTGTGGCTTATCTCCATCAAGTTTTGAATACAGCTTATGACGATCCATTGATGCATGTAAAATGTAATTGATTATGCATCGACGATCTATTTATTATGGTATGTCTACATAGTACATACAAGTGTGTATGTGAAAAATTAATCCCCAAAAATCAAATCGTTTGGACATGCACTCACACATGAAAGCTAACATTCTTTTGAACTCCCATTCAGGCCTTGATATTGAATCATATCCCCCTATTACTCATATGAATGTCTCCTAACAGCCAAAATCATTACTATTCTGGTTATTGTTCCCCTTATAGTTTCAGGCATTTGCAAGTTGTCACCAATCTTTATGTATCTGGTAATGTTCTCTGTAGTTGTCTATGTGAGTGAGTATTCACAATTAGAGGATATTGGTAACACCATGTGTTGGGCCCTTTCACTGTCTGTATCTGAGGTTTTTTCCCCCATCATTTTGTTTATACCATAGCCATGTAGTCATAATCGATTAAGAATAGGAGATAAACTACACGTTTTTGTATGCATTTACATAATATAATATGTATCTTATTTGAAATTTACATTGTAAATAAAAATGAAAGTGAAAATTATACAAAATTATGTTTTATTACCGACATTCTTGGTTTTCTTTTATTTATTTTTTCTTATATTCTAAAACTTTAGATGAAATCTCAGAATGAAACATACTTTTTCTTACTTTACACATACTATATTATATTGAGATTGTATGACGATAGTTACATTTGATCCTTGCCGAACGAAGTTTGCCATGGCACTCTGAAAGGGGATCTGTTTTATGCAGAGGAGGCGCGATAGCTTAGTCGGTAGACCAGTGGTCTCGTAATCCGGTGACCCGGGTTCGAAACCAAGTCATTGCGCTGTGCCCTTTTGTAAGGCATTAATCCTCATTACCTCCCCGGAGAGGACCAAAGCCGTCGGCCGTCTGGTTGCTTACTTACCAGCATTTATGCTTTCTTAGCAGTCAGGTAAAAAAAAATAACAACCAACCATTAGAATATTTTTCTGTAGTTATGCGTGTGGACATGTATGTGTCTGCTCGCGTGTGAGGTATGCATGCGGTTTGGTGTATTTTTATGATGGTTTTATTAGTTTATACACTGTGCTATGTCGTTTGGGGAATCCCCAAACCCACAACGTTACCCAAATAACCAACCAAATCCAACAGCTTTGAACCACATGACACACTGTTAGTACTTTGAAGGCTATTGGTAATACCATGTATTTGAGCCCTTTAACGTACTGTCTGGATTTGAATCGTGCTTTACAGCAGTAAGTATTAGTATAACCATGGACCCTACTACAGATGCAGACTAAAGAACCTTTTTACATTTCAGATTCTTTTCGCTGGGCCAGGGCACAGAGTGTAGTTTCTTGAAAAGTATCATGATTTAAGACCAGTTTCGAGGAGCAGTAACCCCAAAGTATGACCATTCGTGTGATATTAAGTGACTCTCACACTCTGCCGTGTAGGCCTACCGTGTGCCACCGTGCGCGAAAATGTCCGCGGACGGTGGAGAACGGCGAGGGCACACGGTGGTTCGTTATCGAAGCGGGCAACACGTTAATAGGACGTTGGCGCTTATTTACACCCGGTGGGACCCGGCGAAAGTTTTGGGCATGTTCAAAACTTTGGCCGGCTGGCACCGGCCGCAAGTAAGCGGCAAGAGGACGGTGGTTGAACGGTATGAGGACGTATGAACACGTTATGAAAACGGTCACACTGTGTGAACACGTTCACAACACGCTCATATAACCCGTTAAGGAACGGTGATGAAAAATGGAGAGCGGACTGACCGTTGCCGTTCAAATCGGGGTATTTATGGCAGTCGTGTCATGACGTCAGCAGTCCGGGGACTCGCTCACAGGACGCTCCAAGCGGTGAGGGGACGCTAAGTGACTGGTAGGTGGCTGCTACAAACCCGGTGCACACGTTCGAGACCCGGTATGGGCCCGGTATGGAAACGGCCAAAATTTTCAACAAAAGTCAATCTGGGCGGTGAAGACGGTAGAAGCACGTTCAACACCCGGTAAGCGCCCGGTGAGAACGGTCAGAAGATGGCAACGAAACGGTGAAAAGATTAATTTTATGAATTTTTTTTTGCGGCCGGGGACAAGTTCGCTCAAAACCCAACGTTCTGGACTCTGTTTTTTTTTTAATAGCCCGGCAGGTGGACGGTAGGCCTACACGGCAGAGTGTGAGAGCTCCATTAGATTGATTATTAAAGAAGTGGACACTGGTGGACATACATTTAGACTTACCAAACTTAAAAAAATACTTATTCTTTACTGTCCTCACTATGAACATAAACTGACAAAGAAAGCGGACAAAATATACAGTTCCTCAGGTAGACAAAGGAACATCCGTTCACTGCTATTATGTAGAAATGTGTAGAACAGGTGTGACATGCGCGGCGGCCGTGCGGTCCAAATTAGGGACTTTTAGATTTGCACGTTGACAGCTTTGACTGCAACGTGTGACGTCATTTTAAGGCACTGCGCATGCGTCACGTCGTCTCAGTCGGCGATCGAGAATGCGTCAACCTTGATTTTCCCTTAATCTAGTACGGTACGGTGCGCATAAAATATACAGTTCCTCAGGTAGACAAAGGAACATCCATTCCCTGCTATTATGTAAAAAATTTGTAGAACAGGTGTCACTTGCATATTCACCTGTTCTACACTTTTTTACATAATAGCAGTGGAGGATGTTCTACCATGTAGCAATATAGGCCATTTTCGTAATGTAACCGAATTTAATGCATAGGTCTTTGTGAAGTGCCTCAATACAAACTATTTCATTCACCTGATAAGAATAATAGTATTTCAATAGACAGAATCCTAACTGCATACATTAGTTGTTGCCAGGTTGGACAAACATTATGGCTTGACCTACCTAGCAACACCTAATATATGCAGTTGCATTCTTACTATAGAAGTGCTATTATTCCTATCAGGTGAATTAAATAATTTGTATTGAGGCACTTCACAAAGACCTATGCATTAAATTCGGTTATATTACGAAAATGGCCTATTGTTGAGGGTAGAATGAGGAACTGTATATTTGTCCTCTTTCTTTGTCATATTCATAATGTTACTTCCTGTTCCTGCATATATGTATATCGTCGAGTGCAATCTAAAAAAATTCTAATTGCAGTCAACATGGGCAGTTCAGTACGTTGACACGCATGATCAGTTGGCGTTCGTCGTGTTCTCGTCCACTCAATCTAAAAGTCCCTATTATCCACGGCCAATAGCAATTATAGGACTGCCGCAACATTCCCACGGTCACATATGCTAGGATAGGCGCACGGCGTAGTTTGAATTTGTGGTGACAGAAAATTTGCAGCTGCCGTACGGCCTTCGAAGTCACTATGAACATGACAGACAATGAAAGCGGACAAAATATACAGTTCCTCAGGTAAACAAAGGGACATCCCTTCACTGCTATTATGTAAAAATGTGTAGAACAGGTGTCACATGCATATTCACCTGTTCTACACATTTTTACATAATAGCAGTGAAGGGATGTTCCTTTGTCTACCTGAGGAACTGTATATTTTGTCCGCTTTCATTGTCTGTCATGCTCCTAGTGAGTGATGACGCACGGTCGCCTAAGGGCGTCCCTGCGACTAGGCCCATACACTATGAACATGACAGACAATGCTATGTCCTTGTGGGAATCCCCAAACTCACAATGTTATCCAAAAGACACAAAAAAAAAAACACCCCAAAACCAAAAAAAAATCCAAAATGAACCAATGATTGGTGACACACTGTAAGAACGTGGTACAAGACAACACTTGTATTTCACAATCGGACATGACTCGTGCCTTACAAAAGCTAGTACATATACTCTGGCAAATAGTTTGACAGCAGCTGATCTACTGGACAGTCAACAAAACATGATAGTTCACCTTTATCATTCATCATTAAAAATTCAACTAATTGGACGATTATAGGCCATATAGGTCTAAAAAATTCTATCGGGACCTTTCAAAATCAACACATTTTCACTACTATGGGTACGTATAACGCGTATTATATTAAAATATAATTGAGATGTTGATCATTCTATAATTTAAAATGTATTAATGATGCATGTATATCTTGTTATTTGTGCTAAATCCAGACTAAGTACAATACCAGTTTTTAATTGAATTTTTGTTAAATACCACCACTTTTTCATTTGTGTCCTCCAATAATTCTCTACTATTTTGTTATGTCTTCGTCTGTTTTTTAACTTCATATTTCATTAAATCAAATAGTTTATGTCTACCATCGAACCATATTAAAGATAGTATGTTTCTGTTGCAGCCAACATCAAATTAATGAATTTTGCAGGAACTAGGAATATGCCACGTATGTCCTATCTGTGAAATTTAAAGGGATCCGGTAACTTTGTCTCAGATCCTTTAGAAATAATCCTTGATTAAGCTCATGCTGCAATGATAATTATAAACCTTTAGGTCAGTCAGGAACTCCATGACTTTTACAAGCCGATCGCCTGTCTGATTATCAAGAATTTTTTTAATTTGATTTATTTCTATCCTTTTGACAGGGTAGCCCATTCACCAACAAGTAGTGGTCTTCCATGGGGCCCTGAATGAACATATTTACATCGTTTATAACATTTATACAGAACAGTTATAAAAATAATACTCGTTTGCAAAATAAACATATATCATTAACCTAGTAAACAGTAATGTCAATAGGAAAATATTAATTAAGTCGCAGTTATGTGAATAAGTCATGTTAATATTACAGAACATGCACGTAGTGTATGTTCGGCTGAGCCATTCACAAATTACAACTTTGTTTAAACAATCTCTTAAATGAATTGACAGAGGAAGCCGTTCTCAACGAATTATCTAGCTTATTCCATTCAAATATGGAAGAAACAATTGGGCTACACTTATAACAATCAGTGTGAAATCTAGGCACACGTAAACATCCACTGTCTATTTGCCTTGTATGATGCTCATGCACATCATTAGGATTGATTAAGCCTACCTGAAGGTAAGAAGGTGCTAAGTTATGAACGCATTTATATAACATCATAACGCGACTTAACTCAAACCGCTTGTCTATTAATGATTGGAATTACAAATTTTGAAAACCGTTCGCCTGACGGTTTTCATAACACTACAGTCTGTTGGGGAAAACGAGTATGGTAAAACCGGTCACTCGAAGATTTTTACTTTTTTGAGGCACTTCTTGATATTTTGAAGCGCGATTTTTTTCGGGCTTCAATATTACACCACATCACAGACACTGGTAACATGAAGGACCGTGTATCTCAGATTTAACATTGTTAAACGATCCCTTTAAACGTTGGCAGTGTCTTCAAAGCATGCAAGGAAACCCGTTTACTTTCTAGACTTCATTGTCAGACACTAATGAGTGACTGACTGACCCCTTTTTTCTTTGGAAATCACATACATAAATGAGCTGTAAAGGGTACATGAGTTTGTGTACATATAAATAAATTATCTTCTTGGAATGGTCCAAATTAAGCTGATCGAATCTTTGCGCAGCACAAAACGTACGACCATAAAGTGCAAGGGTCTGAAAATCTGACAATTTTCTACGCAAATCTTGTTTAACGCGTTGCGAAAATTCCAAACGATCAATAATTTGATGTTGGCTGCAAAATGGATACACTACCTTTAATATGGTCGATACAAGCCAGTGTAATTTATTTTCCCCCTTTTTCTAATGATCGAGTAATGTCCTTGAATAGAAACACTGGTAGTATATGATATCATAACTTTACTTGACGGTATTTTGAATCTAAAAACACACGCACGCTCACACGCATACACACACACACACACATATATTCATTACTTCATAACTTCGTCATCAAAATACATGCTGCCAGAATATGTGGATTTCTGGCATTCCGTTGCCAAGGCTCATCCTGCTTTTAGATTCTGCGGGAGGGCGTAGGGATGGAGCAAAAATGAAAACTTTGATTTCTTTTAAATGTTATCATCAGAGCCCTTAAATAATGGCTCTGAATAGAGCGATCCATCCGTATTAGTTTTAAGTATCATAAGTAATTATTATTAGTATATTCGGGCACTTTGCTGCGCGAATTTAATAATATACAGGCACCAAAATATCGGAATATTTGGGCAAGTCACTGTCCGAATATGAGGTGATGGTTGCTCGCATAAATTATTGGAACTAACAATTCCGTGTGGGAATTGGGGAGCCCGTATGCAGTCCTGCCCCACTTTGTACATTTATGACTGCAAAAAGGGCAGTAGAGTTGCGAATTTCTTAAAAAAGCGACTTTTTTTTCAATTGTTCTTCGGCTGCGGCGAACAATTAAGGAACTCTCTAGATCAACGTAGTCAAAGAAGTTGGCATGGTAATAAAAACCTAAGATTTGTTTGAAATGCTGACCCTTTCCAATTATTATTTTCTACACTGTAGCAAAGGAAGGCGTAATTAGGAGCAAAGCAACTACATTTACATCTTTTCTAACCTTTTTTCGTTTAAAAACGGTATTTATTCATTTTTGGCATGAAATTGCAAGATCTTGATGCGAGGGAGCAAAGCGATCGAGCTTTAGACAATTTTCGTTTCTTAAACCTCCAAACTCTCTATATCTAGTACATGCAATTAACCCTTCAAACTGGGGTGCATTATCTGTTCGTGTATCCAAAATGTGAGAGGTAAAAAATACATTTCGCGATAGAAACATAACATATAAAGGCTTATAGTCTAATACATCATAAAAGGATTTAGATGAATCATTTTTTTCGGGAGGGGATTGTAGCCTTTGTAAGCCTTCTCCTTAGAATCAAGCCTGCTTCATACCTGAACAAAAAATAAAACATTATAACCTTTACAAAAAACACTGCACTTAGACTTGGCTTTTTGAGGGCAGGCTGTGCCTTTTTTTTTGGGGGGGGGGGGGTAAATTCGATCGATTTTTGCGAACTGTCTCAAAAGTTGCGATACAATAACTTGAAAAGAAAAGGTCACGAAAAGGCAAGTCGCCATCTGCAGCGGTTGTGCGGTAGTCGTAGATTTTGAACAGTGGGAGGGAGGGGGGGGGGGGCACATTCGGGGGTTAAGTTACAAAAAGATGAAGTGACCCCTTATTCCGCCAGTGTGTAAAGGGCTTTAGGGGGTCAATGTTCAACAAGGCTAGATGCTTTTTGTTGACCCCTCATTCGACATAAATTTGCTTTCTGAATTTATTTCCTGTTAATTTTATTGTATTCTCATTATCTGTAAATTTACCTTTTTACATGTATTTATGTATTTCAAATTTCAATTTGTTCATACTTTGTATGCATTGTATATATGATTTTTATGATGAATAGAATAAATACCCCCCTCCCCCCACCCCCCCCCCAAAAAAAAAAAAATACTAATGAAAATAATACGAATTAGAAATATATATGTGTTTTTTTAGCAGCATCGATGGATCACGACTACCACTTTCTTGAGAACTTGTCGTGGAGCCTGGCGCATCGCTTTGCAGCAAGCACGTGGAAGACCTACGCGGGGGTCTCCCTAGACTACTACCGGGTACCCTATGATCACGACGGTCGTTCGTCCTCATCCCCACATGGACACCGACTTCCCAACATGCGCGTCGACGGCATGTTCATGGCTACATGCCCCAAATCAGAAGGTATCACTAACGTGCACGCCGAAAGGATGATACTCGACTGGTTACATAATCAAGTTGTCAATTCAAAATGGCCGCCAGCGGACCGACAACTGCACACATTACATCTGTTCACATTCTTATCTCCTTGTAGTGGATGCATCTCGTGGTTGTGGAGTTTTCTACATTTCCTCCGACAGAATGGACTGATGGGGAGAATCCGAATTGTCCTAGGATATTCCAAATGGTACACGCCGCCAGGAGATCTAATTTATCCTGGTCCTTTTCTTACCATTCCGTGGCTTTATGAACTCCAACATTATTTTCCTAACTTCAAAGTGATGAAGATTTATTAAAATATAATGAGAATAAAAGAGTAGACATTTATTATGATTATAATAATATTTTGTGTCAAAAGAGGTAGGATTTGCTTTAGGAAATGGAGATTTCAAATTCGTATTAAAATAAAACCTTCGTTGCTTTTCGGATTGCCAGCGAGATTGAGCAGCGAGATGGACCTGGATTACCGGTCTCGATGGCCTTCTGAAAAATTATCTGAAATTTTCCAAAACCAATATATAGGTCTTGTGGGCAAAATAAATTACCACCTGGCCTGCAAAAACGCAATGAAATTGTAAAAAGTACTGCTTATCTCTTTTGTGATTACCATTGTGTTCAATCTACATGTATTTGTACAGTGACATATTTAAGTGATGCCTACAGTATGTATTATGTCGGGATTAGCGGAGTGAGGGAATGAATTGAATGTATCAAATGAAATGCATTGCATATGCTTTTTGCAGAAGCAAAGTCACACACACACACGCGCACAAAATTGTTGGTATTTGATATTCGATATTTAATATGTGTGGCATTATTAATTTTGTTAGGAATGTTATTTGGATCTGCAAAGACCGAATTAAAACCCAAATCCCATTGTTTTATTCAAACATCACATAAGCAACTTTGGTGCAAGTCGATTTTTGCACTCTCGCAAACAATGCCTACTGTACTGTTTATCTAAGCGTGAGCACACACCGCACAAATATGATACCAAATTATTGAGGATAAAACACTCTTTTATAAGATGTATAATAATTTACTGTTCATAGAAGATTTTTAATTAGTAATTTTCTAGTTGTAAACTTTTTTTTTGACTCACACTGTATAGGCTATTGGTAACACCATGTATTGGGCCCTTCCTCCGTCTGTTTTTCATTTTGTCAACACCATAGCCAAATACATGTATCCTATTAAATCGATTGAGAAATTAGGAGAAAATTACACGTTTTGTATGCATTTACGGAATATAATATGTATCTTACTTGCATTTACTTTGTAAATAAAATGAAAGTGAAAATACATCAAAATTATGATGTTTAAATACCGATATTCTTGGTTTTCTTTTATTCATTTTTTTCTTATTTTCTAAAACTTAAGATGAAATCTCTGAATGAAACATAATTTTTCTTACTTTATACATACCTCTCTCTGACTATTTTCATCAGAATAATGCATCTTTTCTATTACAAAATCAATTTCAGGAATATATGAGTAATGTTGACAGCATGACATTGTCGACTTTCTCCAGCATTCATTTTAACTGTCGAAGCCTTAGGAAAAATTATGGTGGAATATTTGATTACATGATACTGGATAACTGGATAAATGAAAATGAAGATATTTCTATATTCATACCAAAAAGTATTCGTTTGTACATTATGGAAGACCGATGCGTCGAGGAGGTGGTGTTGGAGTTTTTAGTGAATGAAAATATTAATTTTTTTCAAAGGTCAGATTTGTCATTTACTTGTGAAAGTCTTGAAATGGTGTTCATAGAAATTCCAAAAAAACGTGACAGAAATGTGCTAATTGGGGTTATTTATAGACCACCTAATCAATCTATCAATTCTTTTCTGGAAGTAATAAGTCCTGTTTTGTCAAAAATTCTTAGAGAAAAAAAAGAATGTTATCTCTTGAGGGATTATAATGTTGATCTTATGAAGTTGGATTCAACCCCAACATAAATGATTTTCTTGAATTGATAATAATAATAATAATAAATTACATTTATATAGCGCTTAATACAAAGTTTCTAAGCGCTTAACAAAAAATTAAATTAAAGTAATGTTAACTTACAAATTACAAGAATATAATACATGATACATAATTATAATAACAAATTCTTAATAACAATAATACAATAATAATAATTAATATTTACATAAAGCTTTATAGTTAAAGACAGAAAATTGATGCTCTTAAATTGTTTTTATCCTGCCATTTTAAATCCAACAAGAATTACTACAGATACAGCATCACTTATTGATAACATCTTCTCAAATACTCGAGATAATATCTTGAAGGCTGGAATTCTTTTGACTGATATAACCGACCACCTGCCAATCTTTGTCACGATTTCTTGGAATGAACCTCTACACGAGTCACAGGAATCTTTTTACCGTAGGAAGATATCTGAACTTGGTATACAAATGTTCAGTGCAAATTTTCATGCAATAGATTTTAATGACTTTTATGATGAACCTAATATTAATGTAAAATATGATATATTTCTACAATCCTTTATGAAACTGTATAATGAATGCTTTCCTTTGAAGAATTTCTATGTAAAAAGGAGTAGTTGCATTAGACCTTGGTTAACTAATGATTTGAGAAAGAGGTGTAAAAAGAAAAACAGGTTATATAAGAAATTCATTCTGAATCCATCTCCTTATTACCGTGAGAGCAATCATAAACACTTTAGAAATTCTTTGAACAACGACATTAGGCATGCAAAGCAAGAATATTTTATAAAAAATTCCATACTATAAAAAATGATATAAAAAAGACTTGGAAATACTTGAATGAAATCATAAAGCAAAAAAAGCAAAACAATAGTCCTGACTATATTATTAAAGATAACATAAATGTAGCGGCGCGAAACTTGTATAGCGCCATCTGCGGCGTTAAGAAAATTTGTGCAACAGAAAGCCTAGTCAAAGGCATCAGACTTGATGTTTGTTACCATAGAATTCATGACTTTGCTCCGGATGAACAAATAGTTGGTAAGCTACGATACATGATTACTGTAGATAACTGATTTACTGTCAAATATACGAAACTAGTTGTTTCATATGATTGTTCATTTCCTGTGAATTATGTGCAAATAGTGAGTTGATTTTGGATGATTAACGCAACGTTATGTACAGAAGCCTATGTGTTGCTATGGGGCTATGAAACGCATTGCACCCAAGTATGTGTCGTGCATAAAGGGGTTTATTCATATAAACAAGCTCTAAGATGGTGCATGATTTAATTAGTATGATATGTTATAGTGACTTGCACAGCTTGTAAGAGTTAAAAGAGGTTAATTACCATTATAAGGAGTGTGTAGAACCGTTTCTGAGGAATATTATTGATGTCAATTGTATAGGGTCTGGAATCACATAGACTACTTTGTAATTGCTTAATTAAGGGGGCATTATGAAGCCGTATCTGTAGAACACCGTGCATTACAGGCACATTCTAAGCACAGGAATTTATGAAGATATATAAATCAAGCAGAGACATAAATGAATACACTGTATAGCTGGATAGTTGCATTCTTTTTGGAGTTTATTTCGTATATAAACATCACGTTTATATGTCAAGAGTATTTACAAGATTCACTGTAATGTAGACAGGGTTACATGCATTTAATTCTGTTTATATGATGCATATGTTTATAATGCTTTGTTACTTTGTTGTTGTTTACAGTGAACCGCTAATTGGATTGCTGATTTGCTAATGATGATGATTCGCTAATTGGATTGCTGATGATGATTATTCGCTAATTGGATTGCTGATTTGCTAATGATGATGATTCGCTAATTGGATTGCTGATTTGCTAATGATGATGATTCGCTAATTGGATTGCTGATTTGCTAATGATGATGATTCGCTAATTGGATTGCTGATGATGATTATTCGCTTATTGGATTGCTGATTTGCTAATGATGATGATTCACTAATTGGATTGCTGAATCGCTAAATGAAGATGACTTGTTACAAAGGAACAGAAATAAAGAGAAATAAGAACTCAACAAGTCGTTGCAACGTTTCCTTTATTGGCGCGTTCACAATAAAGATAACCAATAAACTTGAAATGTCAAAGGAATTTAATGGATATTTCAGTATAATCGGCAGTTCTATTGGGAATCAGTCGATACCTTTGCCAAGAACAGATTTTAAACATTATCTCACAGGCAATTATGTTAATTCTCTATTTCTTAAACCTCTTAAAACTGAATCAGAAATAAATAATTGTGCTAAAGAATTGAAAGTGGGTAAAAGTGCGGGATACGATAATATTGTGATGAAAAGCCCTCTAGATGGATTAATTTATATTTCTAATTCCTGCTTATAATTGCAGCTTCAAACGTGAGAGGATTCTCTTAGTGTTAGTCGGTGGCTCATGGAGTTACACAGCACTACGTTTATACGTGTATTGTCACTCTTGTATTGAATGAATGAAATTCCGGTGATCAGCTGTTCGATCAGCTGAACTGTGGTCTATATCTCCGATTAGACTGAAATACTTTCTTTTATTATCTATTTAGTGCGTACCATAGAGATATATACTTAATAAGGCTAGAGTGCGGACTCGTCATACGCGCCCGTTCAAAGCTCTGTGCGCGCATGGAGCGCGGTCCGCCATTACTAAGGAGGGCACAACTTCGAGAAATACCCGGATGTTCCCTTCGAAACTGTGCTACTGATATGCAATGTGAAGCTTCATTTTTCGGGTTGATTTATCGGTTTTCGAGTATGAAACGTTATAATTGTGGTATTTTGCATAATGCATGAACCCTACTCATGCCCCAGTCATGGTATCTGGTGTAGGTCAAGATTAATTACGGATGTTATGGTGAGGTAAAAGGGACACAAAAAGCTATTTATATTTCAGTATATCTTCAATTTTTCTTCCTCTTTGTCAACATAAAACTGCGATATTATGACATTAAATATTACTTGGCTTTCAACCAATCAGAATCAAGCATTTGGGACTTGTATTTGATATTTATGTCATGATATTAAACACAGTTTTATGCTACAGGGCCAATGCCGGGGGCCAATGTCTTTCTAATTCAGTTATTATGAGAGCCAGGGTTTATTGATTTAAAATGCTTTAAAGGTAATATATTCATTTTATGTTTATGACTATTATAAACAGATTGATACTTATAGATTTGGGATAGAGATGGGTATGTAGATAGCTAGACACATAAATAGATGGATAGATAGATATAATATAGAAGGATAGGTAGATAATGGAAATGCAGATAAAGGACGATACTGAAGATAGGAAGAGGGGGAAG